TATATTTCAAAATATCGAACAATTTAATGGACGAAATAAAAACCAAAATCTTGTATGGGCCGATATACAATTCGAATCAAACCCGTGAAAAACGACCCAAACTCGTATTACGTATTACACAGATATTCAATCCTAACCGTCAATTTTTCATCCGCGTATCAATATAACTTGCCCCTAGGGTTTCCTTCCTTCAAAACCCCCCCTCAATTTGCTTTTCTGCGTCATACGTTCATATATTCTCTGCAAGCTTCGGGACTCAATTGAGGTTCGATTTCTCTAGCTATATGTATTTAGGTGAAATCTTTCTTTATGGTTTTTGGTGAATGATTTGGTTATGGATCTGAATTTGACGTTTTAAGTAGAACTGTTGCTAAGATTTGGTTTTGGTTTTGGAGTTTTTTTCGAATGCGACGTATGTGATTATATTTTTTTGGTGATATTTTGGTGCAGGTTGGTAATTGCTGAAATTTGAGAGATTTGAATATTACTTTAGTGGAGAATGGCGTCGAGATTTTGGACTCAGGTTTGTTTTGCTTTCTGTTTATATTACTGTTATTTTTGCTTATTTAGGATTGTTCAGTTTAAAAAGATTTAATTTTTTGTGAGACTTAAAATTTATCAAGTTTCTAAGTTTTCCAGGTCTGAGTTTCGATTCTGGATCCGTGTTTATGTGTGTCCGTCTTATTTTTTGTCCTTTTTTTTCTGGTAGAATTAAATTATGAATTTGGATATGGATTTGTTTTCAATTTTAATTATGCAATGGAAAAATAATTTTCTTCAATTCTAATTATGTGCCAATTTCTTCTTTAGTAAAGAAGGCATTTGAAAATAAAATACAACTAAATTTCACATCTTGGAGATAGCTTGGTGTGGTTAGTGTAGACACGTATGTGTATCTGTGTTTTTGCATTTACTTGTTGAAGGTGCATTCTTTAAAGTGTTTTTTCTGGGATTTTAGGGTGATAGTGACACCGAGGAGGAGAGTAGTGATTATGATGAGCAGGAAGAAGGACCAGTGGAGACAACTGCAGTTGCAGGTGGTGGTAGCAAGTATCTCCAGACTGAAGCTAGTGATAGTGATGACTCGGATGGGCAGAAGCGTGTTGTGCGATCAGCTAAGGACAAGCGATTCGAGGAGCTGGCTGCCACTGTTGATCAGATGAAAAATGCTATGAAAATCAATGACTGGGTGAGCCTGCAAGAGAGTTTTGACAAGATCAATAAGCAGCTGGAGAAGGTCATGAGGGTCACAGAGTCTGATAGAGTTCCTAACCTTTATATCAAGTCTCTTGTGATGTTAGAGGATTTCTTAAATCAGGCATTGGCCAATAAGGAGGCAAAGAAGAAGATGAGCAGTAGTAATGCAAAGGCCTTGAATTCAATGAAGCAGAAGCTTAAGAAGAACAATAAGCAGTATGAGGATTTGATTAACAAGTACAGGGAGAATCCAGGCCTTTTTGAGGAAAAAGAAGACGATGAGCAAGAGGACGATGAGGAGGATGATGAGGTAGGTTCAGACCTTGATGATGAGGACCTTTTGAACCGGGAATCTGAGGAGAGTGAGGACGAAGAAGAAACGGAAATGGATGCAGCTGAGACTGGGTCTGGTTGGGAGAAGATGTTGAGTAAGAAAGATAAGCTGATGGATAAGCAGTTCAAGGATCCTAGCCAAATTACTTGGGAAACTGTCAACAAGAAGTTCAAGGAGATTGTAGCTGCCAGGGGTAGGAAGGGGACAGGAAGAATTGAGTTGGTTGAGCAGCTCACTTTCTTAACGAGGGTTGCTAAAACCCCTGCTCAGAAGCTTGAAATTCTCTTCAGTGTTGTTTCTGCACAGTTCGATGTTAATACAAGTTTGAGTGGGCATATGCCAATCAATGTTTGGAAACAGTGTGTGCAGAATATGCTTGCCATACTCGATATTTTAACTAAGTACCCAAATATTGTCGTTGATGATATGGTGGAGCCTGATGAGAATGAGACCCAAAAGGGTGCTGACTTTGATGGAACTATTCGGATTTGGGGAAATTTGGTAGCATTCCTTGAAAAGATAGATGTGGAATTTTTTAAGAGCCTTCAGGTTATTGATCCACACACGCGTGAATATGTTGAGAGGCTTAGGGATGAACCCAGGTTCCTAGTTCTTGCTCAGAATGTCCAGGAATATCTGGAAGGGGTTGGGAATTATAAGGGTGCTTCAAAGGTAGCTCTTAAGCGGGTTGAGCTCGTATATTATAAACCACAGGAGGTGTATGATGCTATGAGGAAATTGGCTGAGCAATCTGATGATGGAGAAACAGAATCTGGAGAGGAAACTAAAGCTGTTGAGGAAAGTAGGGGTCCACCTGCCTTTGTTGCAACTCCCGAGTTGGTGCCCCGGAAACCTACCTTTCCAGAGAGTAGCAGGGCCTTAATGGATATCCTTGTTACACTGATATACAATTATGGCGATGAGAGGACTAAGGCTCGTGCAATGCTTTGCGATATATATCATCATGCCATTTTTGATGAATTTGCGATATCTCGCGACTTGTTGCTCATGAGTCACCTACAGGATAGTATTCAGCACATGGATATTTCTACCCAAATACTTTTTAACAGGGCTATGGCACAGCTTGGTCTCTGTGCATTTAGGATGGGACTTACTGCTGAGGGCCATAGTTGCCTCGCAGAACTGTATTCTGCTGGCAGGGTGAAGGAATTGCTCGCCCAAGGCGTCTCCCAAAGCAGATATCATGAGAAGTCGCCAGAACAGGTATTACTTTTTATTTATCATACACTTCAGTTTTTCTTACCTAGTTGTATATCCAAGGTCAGTGATTTAGAATTGTCAACACGTTTGCCAATGAGATCCCTTTTGTCTATGATTTTATGATGTTATTTTACATATGCTTTGTGATTCTTTTTCATTTTCCAGAGAAACTTAGAGCCTGTTTTGCATGGCTTTTGAAAAGCCAAAAGCTGATTTTTGTCCCTCACCTATCTTGAGGTGGACTGAAGTTGGTTGACTTTACATTAGTTATAAATATTAGCATCCTTATAGACGTGTATTTGGCTTCCAGATGTCTGTAGCTTTTCAATGTGTTATCAGGAGCATTTATGGTTGTAAATGACTGAAAATTTTCAGGAACGGCTGGAGAGGAGGCGACAAATGCCGTACCACATGCATATAAATCTTGAACTTCTCGAGGCGGTCCATCTGATATGTGCCATGTTGCTGGAGGTCCCCAACATGGCAGCCAATAGCCATGATGCCAAACGTAAGGTCATAAGCAAGACTTTCCGAAGGTTGCTCGAAGTAAGTGAGAGGCAAACTTTCACTGGCCCTCCTGAAACTGTCAGGGACCATGTAATGGCAGCCACAAGGGCCCTCAGGCAGGGAGATTTCGGCAAGGCTTTTGAAGTTATAAAATCCCTTGATGTCTGGAGGCTGCTTCGGAATAAAGATAATGTTCTCGAGATGCTTAAGGCTAAAATTAAGGAAGAGGCTCTAAGGACCTACCTTTTTACATATTCATCCTCTTATGATTCCCTGAGCTTAGACCACCTTGCCAGGTTGTTTGACATATCGGATTCTCAAACTCGTAGCATTGTGAGCAAGATGATTATCAACGAGGAGCTCCATGCAAGTTGGGACCAACCAACTGGTTGCATCGTCTTCCATGCAGTCGAGCACAGTAGATTGCAGGCTTTAGCATTCCAGTTGACAGAAAAGCTCACAATTCTTGCAGAAACTAATGAGAGAGCAATCGAGTCACGGATTGGCGGTGGAGGATTGGACGGTCTTCCTCTCAGGCGCAAGGATGGGCAGGACTATGCTGGGGCAGCTGCTTCAGGCACCGGTGGTAGGTGGCAAGAGTTTTCCTTCTCACAAGGCCGCCTAGGCAGCAGCGGTGGAAGAACAGGATATGGTGGTGGCCGATCATCAGCTTCTGGTCAAGCATCAGGCGGAAACTTTTCAAGGGATCGGACGGGTCAATCACGATCTGGTGGCTACCAGAACTCAAGATATCAAGATGGACCTGGCCGAACGTTCCAGTCTGGTTCTTCTGTCAGGGGAAATCAGGTGGATACGTCGACCCGGATGGTTAACCTCAACCGAGGAGTTCGTGC